GAGAATGCAAACATGTGCAGGGTCCCCAGCTCTGCCCAAACGAGGACACGTTCATCAGGAACTGGCAGATCAGAACCATTCACAAGGACATTTTCTTTCCTTCTTAAAAAACTGGCACCATGGCTCCCGCCCCAGAGGTCCTACGAGGGGATGGTGCCCATCCAGTTGGCAGTGTGTCTGTGGTTGCTCCCAGCCACTGCAGCAACAGCCCATTGGAAGAGATCAGGAGAGGCCTGGAAGGGCGGTGGGTGGGATGAAAGATGCGAGAGGTGGTACCCTGGATTCCCCAAACTGGTTATTTTCTGGAAACATCCATGGATAGGTTGTACCAGTCAGGATAGGTTATGCTGCTGTGAATGAGCAAACGGCAATGACGAGAAGATCTACTGGCTGGACACCACAGAAGTTTATTTCTTGCTCAGGCAAAGCCTGCTCCGGGTCCAGGCGAGTCTCCGGGGCTGCCGTCCTCCACGGATGACGCACGGTGACTCAGGGATCCAGGCGGCTTCCGTCTTGGGACTCCACCCTCTCAAAGCCAGGCCTCCTCCACAAAGGGGAAGATGAAGCCTGGAAAATCTTGCAGAGGCTTTTTGCTCCCTCAGAAAGGAAGTGACACATCACTTCTGATCACATTCCATTGGTCAGCTGTCATGTGACCCTAACCCAAGGGGACTGGAAAGGATGTCTCCACGTACCCAAGAACAAAGGAGAACTGGATACTGTTACGTTAACAATATGATATGTTAATAATGATTTTTTTTCTTTCTTTTTTTTTCTGAGGAAGATTAACCCTGAGCCAACATCTGCTGCCAATCCTCTTTTTGCTGAGGAAGACTGGCCCTGAGCTAACATCTGTGCCCATCTTCCTCTGCTTTATATGTGGGATGCCTACCACAGCATGGCTTGCCAAGTAGTGCCATGTCCACACCTGGGATCTGAACGGGTGAACCCCGGGCTGCCGAAGCCACCAGGCCGGTCCAAATAATGATGTTTTAACAGAGGGTCCCTCCACCACACATACCATTCCACATGTTTTAATATTTATGGTAAGTCTTTTGTGTGTGTTAACTCATTTGATGCTGACAATTCCCCAGTGAAGTTGGTATTTTTATTCCTATTTTAAAGATGACGAATTGAGGCCCCAAGAGGTTCCTGAGACCTGTTTCTACCCACAAAACATTTCTGACACCAAATGTGTGGAGGTTTTTCCCACACCAACCAATTCTCCAACTCTGAACAAGCAATTCAAGCCTGACTCTAATAACCTGGAATTTTCTTTTTTTTCCTCCCCCGTAGCAGCTAGTTATATATCCTAGTTGTGGGTCATTCTAGTTCTTCTGTGTGGGACGCCGCCACAGCAGGGCTTGATGAGCAGTGTATAGGTCTGCGCCCAGGATCCAAATGGGTGAACCCTGGGCCGCCGAAGCAGAGTGCACGAACTTGACCACTACGCCATGGGGCCGGCCTCCTACCTGGGATTATTGTCAGACCCCACACGTTAAGGGCTCAGTCCCACAAGACTGCCCCACTTCAGGCGCCAACCCCGAGTCCAGGCCTCCCGTACCTCTGACTGACCAGCTGTAAATGGGGGGTTCCCACAACCCCCTGCTCGAGTTCCATAATTCACTAGAAGGACTCCCAGAACTCAGGAAAATAGTTTTCTTACTATTACCAGTTTATTATAAAGGATGCAACTCAGCCCCGCTCCAACCCGTCCTGGAGGCCGGTGGTTGGGGCTAAAAATTCTAACCCTCCCATCACTTGGTCTTTCTGGTGACCAGCTCCATCCTGAGGCTACCCGGGGGCCCCACCCTAAGCCACCTCATTAACATAAATTAGCATAATAAATTAGCATAAATGCAGGTGTGATGAGGAGGAGCTGGTTATGAATAATGGAAGACACTCCTGTCACTCAGGAAATTCCAAGGGTTTTAGGAGCTCTATGCCAGGAACCTGAGATGAAGACCAAATATACTTCTTCTTATGTGACAGAGGTTAAACAACTCCTCCAAGGTCACGTGGCCGTTGTGCTGGCGGTCCTCTGACCACCGCCAGATCCACTCTACACCTTCTCCTCTCTGCTCTCAGCCCCATGAGGCGGACCCGTGCGGCCCGTGTCAACAGAGGGCTGTGCCCTCTCGTATCTGATAGTCTCAGCCAATGGGGAGCCCAAGAAGGAGAGCAGAGGGAGGAAGGGACAGAAGTTGGGGTCCTTATTCCCCCAGCTCCCTACCCGTGGGGTCGCAGCAGGTTGGTCTGTGCCGGGACCCAAAAACTCTCCATGGGGCTGCCCAGTCTGAGTTCTGGTGGCCGCTCTCTCTCCTCAGCCTTTGCAACACGGATGTGGTGACTCAGCTGTCATTGGCCTGAGAGTGTGACATGAGCCCTTGGACTGCACTCTCCTCAAATCACCCAGTCTGGGACGCCATCTCTTTGGCGCGGGGCCCCCGGCTGATCCCATGGAGCTGGGACTGGCCTGGTGTGAAGATGAAATTCTTTGTCAGGTTTCTTTCTAAAGTTCGCTTTGATGGCTGAATACATAGACGTCACGTCATTGAATACAGTAAATCAAAAATCACTTTTAAAATGAAACCTAATCTTTCCTTATCACAAAGTCAAAACAGATTAATTGCAGGGAAGTTTGAAAATACAAATAAATGGAAAGAAACAATCAAACTGTTGGCCCACCATCCAAAGAACAAATGTAACATTTTCATATATATCCTTCCGTTGTCTTTTCTGCACATAAACATATATATCTGTTTGTTTAACAAAGTTAGAATTTCCCTAGACACACTGGTTTTCGTTTTTTTTCCACTTTATAAATGGTGATCGTGTTTTTATGTCTTTACATCCTTTTAAATAGTTGTTTGGCTTTGGGTTGTGGGGTTGTGTCATCAATTTTAAAGCTGATTTCCTTTTGGGGACGCTTAGATTATTTTCAATTTTTAGTTCCTATAAATAATAGCGTCATGAGTTGGGTTGTTTTTGTTTGTTTTGGGGGTTTGGGCCAAATCTTTGCACACATACCCATTTTCTTCATATAAATTTCTAAACACAGGGTTGATAGGTTAAGGCGGCACGTTGTAAGGCTTTGGGTGTGATTCCTAAATCTCTTCCCCATCTCCACTCATGCCCCAGACAGCCTCTGCAATGTCTGTGTCTCTACATCCTCACCAACACTGGATATTAAATATTTGTTTAAAAATGTCAGGGCCAGCCCCGTGGCCGAGTGGTTAAGTTCGCGCACTCGGCTCCAACAGCCCAGGTTCACAGGTTTGGATCCTGGGTGTGGACCTACACACCGTTCATCAGGCTACACTGTGGCTGCATCCCGCATAGTAGAACTGGAATGACTTACAACTAGGATATACAGCTAGGTACTGGGGCTTTGAGGAGAAAAAAAAAAGGAAGATTGGCAACAGATGTTAGCTCAGGGCCAATCTTCTTCACCAAAAAAAATAAAAGATCTTCATTTAAAGTGTGAATCCAAATCAAATAGTTAAAACTCCTCTTCCTTTGAATAGATCTGTGCTGCAAAAATGAATCTTAGAATTATAGCCACCTGGCCAGAGTGAAGAAGAAGCTGGTGCAATTGTCTATTAAAATCAGGCACTTTCCAGTGGAAAAACTGACAGCACTACCTGCGCCAGGTGAGCAGAGTTGGCATCCAGCGTGAGACGTCATGGTGGAGGTAGACACCTTTGAGATGAGTATAAGAACGGCACTTTAGGGGCCGGCCCAGTGGCGCAGCAGTTAAGTGCGCACGTTCTGCTCCAGTGACCCAGGGTTCACTGGTTCGGATCCCGGGTGCAGACACGGCACCGCTTGGCAAGCCGAGCTGTGGTAGGCATCCCACATATAAAGTGGAGGAACATGGGCACGGATGTTAGCTCAGGGCCAGTCTTCCTCAGCAAAAGAAGAAGGATTGGCAGGAAATGTTAGCTCAGGACTGATCTTCCTCAAAAAAAAAAAAGAAAAAAGGAGGGGTACTTTAGCTCCATGGTCTTCCTCCCAAAAACCCACAACCCCAGCAGAATCGTGAGCAGCGCATCAGACAAATCCCAACTGAAGGACATTCTACAAAATACCTAAGCGGTACTCCTTAAAACTATTTAGGGAAGGCGTAATAGCCAAAAGTGACGATGCCCATCAATTGATGAATTGGATAAGCAAAATGTGGTATATCCATTGACAGGAATATTATTCAGCCATAGAAAGGAATAAAATGCTGATAGATGCGACCACGTGGATGAACCTCAAAAAGACGCTCAGTGAAAGAGGCAAACGCAGAGGGCCACAGGCTGTATGACTCCAGAATTGCTGGAACAGGCGGACCCATAGGGACAGGAAGTAGATTAGCAGTCGCCAGCAACAGGGGTTGGAGGACTGGGGAGTGACCGCTATGTGGGTAAGCGGTTTCTTACAGAGACAAAGAAAATGTGCTGGAATTAGATAGAAGCGATGGTTGCCCGATTTTTTAATATGCTAAAACCCAATGAATTGTACACTTTAAAAGGGTGGATATCATAGTATGTGAATACTACGGTGTGTCAATTCAAGCAAAAATCAAAGAAAGTCTGAGACACTATCCCAACCAACAGCAGCCTAACCAGATGTGGCGCCTGAATGTCCTGGGTCCCGGATGGGATTCTGGAAGAGGAAAAGTGCCTTAGTAAAAACTAAGGGAATCTGAACACAGTGTAGACTTTTGATAATCAGAAGGTGTCGATATTGGCTCATTAATCGTTACAGATATATGGTAATCATGTAAGATGTTATAATACAGGAAAATCACAGAGGAAAGACAGTGTGGAGAATATGGGAAATCTCTTACTGTCTTTTCAACTATTCTGTAAATCTAAAACTGTTCTAACACTGAAAGTTTATTTAAAAAAATCAGGATACACGCAAAGGTGACAATTTGGGCCACTTTAAAAAAAAGCAAGTGTTCTTACTTCTGGCTGTAAAGACACGGGTGATTCTGGTTCTGTCACCAGGAAAACCGCCCATTTGGAAATTGAGCCCAGCTGTGGCACGGCGGGTCACCAGGGAAGCTGTTGGCTGGGCCGAGGATAAACACCCACAGTTCTATTCTCAGTAAGTGGCTCTCACCACTAACCATCCTTCCATCCCCTTCAGTTTGTCTGTATCATGCCTAGGTCTGAATTATCCTGTCTGGGCAAGTCCTGGTTCTAGGAACCTCCCAGTGTTGAAAAATATTAGAAGATTTCAGTGGATTTGTGCGAAAAGAAAAATCTCACTTTTTTTTTTTTTTTTTTTTTTTTTTTTCGGGTGACTAACTTCGACATGAATGCCAGTGCTTATGACCATGGAAATCCGATGATGCAAGGTGAAGCAAGAGTGTCAGACTTTCAAATGACACGGGACTTTAAGTGACATCCAGGATGCGGATTTGCAAGCGTGCACTGGAGCACAGCCATGGGAAGCTGCTGCTGCAGAAACACCTAGGATATTGACGTATTAAAGGGAAAATAACCCCTTCAAACTTGGAAGTTCGGGTCTTGAGAAAGTTTACGTCAGGAGAAATGGTAATGGAAGAGCTTAAAACCATATGGAAAAACAGGGTTGAGCTGTCACCTCTGTGCCCATTCTGAGAAATTATTTACATCCGCTAAAATTATTATTTTAACAACAATAAAAATAGCAATGGGTAATATTTTTTGCACATGCAGTAACGCTACGTCTGTTCCCCTTTTTAAAGAAACCCTGTGACCCCTCTCTCCACAAAACCAAGTACTGAGGCTGAGGCCTGAGTCCTTCTGGTTACACCGCTGGGAGAGGCTTGATCTAACCCAATTCTAAAACAGAAACCCCCAAAGAGGCAAATTCTTGGCTTTTATGAGTTCCTAGGCAGGCTTTTGAAATTCACGGCAGAGATGATCATCTTGAAAGCCAAGGCTTTCGATTTGCAAGATTTGCAAAAGGAGACTTTTTTTTTAAAGGTCTCAACTTTGGTTTTGGGTATCAAAACTCTGGATTCAAGAGCAAATCCTTGAAGGAAGCTTGGAATAAAGTCTATGCCACAACAGACCGTCCATCTGCAGGGGAACTGATGAGAAGTCAGGCGACCCTGTCCTGAGGCTGAAAATTTTCGAAATAAACGAAAAAAAAAACCTGGGGAGGAGAAATGAACGATTCCAGGGGGCTGAGGAGCAGGTGAAACTGGACTGGCCGTGAGCCGATCATTGTTGAAATCGCGTTCATCATTCTGTTCTCTCCATTTTTGTATGTTTCTTGAAATTTTCCGTAATAAAAATTTTGCTCTGGTTAGCGTTCGTGTGGAAGCTGGGAGACCAGCAAGAAGATTATGGAAATCGTGCAGACGAGAAGTGGTGGTGCCTGGACCGGGCTAGCCATGATGGAGAGGATCGAGGATGCTGGAGAGAGGGGAATGGACTCAGACTACATCTGGTGGTATCCACCGGATTGTTACTTCTCGTGCCTTAAATCTCTATGCGTTTTCCCTCCTCCTTCACTTTGAGAGCTTACGGTACCCAGCAGTGGGCCCTCGGGAGAGAAGATGGGTTGGTAGAAGAGCGATATCCTGTTCACCCTGGGAGGCGTCCTGGGAAGGGTCTCCGTGCTGGACACCATCTACAGCCTGAATAACTTTAGGAAAATCCGGATGCCTTTGGGCTTCAGTCTAGGAACCGTGGGAACCTCAAGGGGTCTTCAATAGGCAGTGACCTGAGCTGATTTTAAAAGTCCCCTCTCCCCCAGCTACCGCATAGAGCACAGTTTGGGGTGGGCTGCCTGTAGAAACGGACCTGTTAGGAGCCACTGTAGCATTCCAAGTACTTTATAAAACATTCTCTTTTACTCCTCAAAGCAACCCTCTGAAATGGGGATTATTATCTTCATTTTGAACATAAGGTTCTGAGATCAGAGAGGTTGAGTGATGTACCCAAGGTCACTCAGCAGTTACCTGTAAGGTTGCAGATAAAATACAACAAAACGTGTCAAGAAACATACTTATATAGTACTAAAAATTTATTCGTTGTTGTCCTGAAGTTCAAATTTAACTGGGGGACCTATATTTCTATTTGCTCAATCTGGCAACCCTAGTTACTGACCAAACCAGGATGGAGTCTGAGGTCTGGCCCCAAAGTCCTGGTGCTTCCCCCAAACTGCCCCGACTGTACGGCAAGGATTTGCTCTGGTTCATTTTCATATCCCCGCTCATAGCCTCGCTGGGCTTGCCAACAGACAGAGTCCCCAGCAAATGTTTGTTGAGTGACTACACAGGAGGATGTGCAACGTCAGAGGATTCTGGGGCCTTTCGGGACTACCAAAAATTCTAGCAGAGCACGTCTGGTATAGCGGGTAAAAGCGAGGATTCAGATAGCAACTCCCTGGGTTCAGATCCTGCAACCATCACTGACCTACCGGCTGTGTGAGTTTGGGCAAGTCACGGGAACCCTCTGTGCCTCAGTTTCCTCATCTGCAAAATGGGGATGATAATAACAGCGCTAATAATAGCACATCCCTCACGGGTCTATTTCGAGGATTGAATGAGTAAAGCTGAGCTACGCCGTGCTTCAGAGAGAGTAAGAGCTCAGGGGATGTGGGCCATGACTGGGGGTCAAGAGGAAGATAAGGAAGCGACGGAAATGCCCCGAACCGTCCTCACACTGCCCAGAACACACAGAGAATTCGCTGACGTCCCCAGGGGGGGCGCGGAGAGCCCTGCTCCCAGTAGGGGGTGCACTAAATATTGATTTGATAACTAAATGAGCCCAAGAGGACTTTCTATAGAAATAACCAAAAACTGGGCCAGCCCGGTGGTGCAGCGGTTAAGTGCCCACGTTCATGTTCAGCAGCCCGGGGTTCGCCGGTTCGGATCCCTGGTGCACACATGGCACCACTTGGCACGCCATGCTGTGGTAGGCGTCCCACATATAAAGTAGAGGAAGATGGGCACGGATGTTAGCTCAGGGCCAGTCTTCCTCAGCAAAAAGAAGAGGATTGGCAGCAGATGTTAGCTCAGGGCTAATCTTCCTCAAAAAAAAAGAAAACCCAAAAAACTAAAAGAAAAACAGAATCCCACAAAAACAAGAACTATACTCAAAGGAAATAATTGGAGGAGCGACTCCGGAATGTGCCAGTGAGTCAAGCATCGATGACTGAAAAGATCGTATTTTGAGATGAATGTTTGATGGCTCAGAAAAAGAAAAAGGGTTTAGGGGTGGCAAGCACAACAAATACTGTCATTAAAACAAAATTGGCACTGGGCTTCAATTCCAGAGGTTACGAAACAGCCCGGCTGAGGTCATTCGTGCCTAATTATTGTGCCTAATAATCACCTTGACTAATTAGAGCCAAGGTTTTGGAGCACGCTTCTATTCCCAGAGATGGAGTCAGCAGCGACCCGGAATAAATCATTTTGCTCTATTTATGTCTTGGATCATCCACGTGGAAGCACCCTCGGCCGCCCCCTCAGGGAAATTCCAAAGCCTTCATTAATTAATATTTGGAAAACAGGATAGCTTGTATTTGTCAGGCCTATAGAAACATGACATCAGTATGTTTTGGACGTTGGGTTCATTTATTTAATTACTCAGCTCTGCTCCAGGTGCACTTAATATTTATTATTTATCATAAAGTATTAATAATGATCATACTGAGATGGGATCTGAAGGCGCAATAGCGAACGAGACAGGTGGGCCCCTGTCCTCATAAAGCTTATAGTCTAGCAATGGAGACAGATGGTAAGTCAAGCATCAAACAAAATAATTGCATACTGTGAAGTACTCTGAGGAAAACAATAGAACTCTGCCCTAGATAGCTGCAGGAGGCCCCTCCTTTTGATAGATGATCATGGAGGGCTTCTCGGAGGAGATGAAGCCCCAGCCGAGATGCGAACAATGGCAAGAAACAGCCAGGTAGAGCCGGTGCCCTGCATGCATGGAAGGCACGCCAGGAAGCAAAACCGAGTGGGCAAGAATACTAAGTGGTCGTGACAAGCACAGGCTTTCTGGGTTTGAATCCTACTCTGCCGCTGACTTGCTGTATGATCTCAAGTTATTTGCCATTCTTCCGTGCCTCAGTTTCTCCCTCTGTAAAACGGGGATAATAACAATACTAGTTTCGGGGTGCTGTCATGAGGAATCGGTGAGTTGATGCTGGTGAAGCACTGAAAGCTGTGACGGGCAGGGGTCACGCATCACGCACGGAAGGATCCCAGAGGCTGTGGATACTGCCGACCCACCTCCCCTCGCTCACCTGAGCTCACCTGCAGCTGCGGGCGAGACGGTTTCCGGTCCTCTCAGCACCGCCCGCCTCCGCACCTGCAGTTCTCCTCTTCTCCGCCTGGGGCGCTCTCGGGCTCAACCGCGCAGGCTGACACTGGAAATGTGGGGGGAGACCCGGTCCCGAGGGCCGCCCTTAATCAGTGAGGATCGAAGCTGGTGGATAAAGGCCCCAGGCTCTCCGCCCTCCCTTGGGGCCACCCTGACCTGCACCCCACATGATCTCTCAGGGGAGCCCCAGTGAAACTGAGCCCCAGCTGTCTCCGATGTGACCTGCTCCTGAACACACCCTTTATGGGTTCTCCTCCACCCACTGTCTCACTTCGGTCCCTCTCAGAGCTTCCTGGAATCACGGCCCGGGGCTGGGATGAGGCAAGCATGGGTCTAGAGAGTAAAATTTAAGGAGGCACTTCAATGAGGAAGAAACAAACAAAAGTGGGGGGTGGGGCGGGTGGGCACAAACGGTGAAGGGTTGCACCTACAACACGACTGACAGACAATAATGTACAACTGAAATTTCCCGAGATTGTAACCTATCATTAACTCAATAAAACCTTTAAAAAAAAAAAAAAAGAAAAAGAAACAAACAAACAAGAGGGATCCATGCCTAGGATGGAATAGTATTCAGCCATGAAAAGGGATGGCGTTCTGATACCCGCTCCAATGTGGATGAACCTCAAAAACATGACCATCAGTGAAAGAAGCCAGACGCAAAAGGTCACAAATAGCATGCTTCCATTTCAGTGAAACGTCCAGCAGAGGCAAATCCACACACGCAGAAAGCGGACTCGTGGTTGTCAGGAGCCAAGGAGACGGGGGCCATGGGGAGTGACTGCTTAGTGGGTACAGGGCTTCCTTTCCAGGTGCTGAAAGTGTCTTGGAACTAGACAGAGGTGATGGCTGCACAACATTGCAAATGGACTAAACAAAGTCACTGACTTGTTTGCTTTATAATGGTTCGTGTAAAGTTCATGTTACGTAAATTTCACCGCGATAAGAAAATATATTAAACACACAAACTGAGTGGCTTCCTCTCCACGGCCCTGGGGCTGGGGATCCCCGTCCGGGAACGCTGTGTGGGAGTCGTCACCTTGCAATGTCCTCCCGGGAGGGGACGTCTGTTCAGTCCTGAAAACCGTGTGCCCCTTACTTCCTACACCACAAGAAGGGGAATTCCTATTTGCTGACTGAGGCCCTACTGTGCGCCAGACACTTCATAGGAACCCTCCCTATCGATCCTCTTGACCCACTCTTGCCTCATCCATTGAGTTTTTCTTCACTGTGCTTGTCACCAACTGACATCACATTGTACATATTTGTTCAGTGTTGTTTTTTCCCTCTAGAATGTAAGCTTAGGAGGGCAGGAACATTGTCTTGTTGACCGTATCCTCGAGCTGATGAGGGGAAGGAACCTTGCAAGACAGGCATTAGCATCTCCGTTGACAGCGGGGGAATTCGAGCTCAGCGATTTGCGGTTAGTAAGGAGCAGCGACTGAGTTTGAACTCAGGGCCCCGGGGCGGGGGGCACAGCCCGTGCTGCGGGGAGCTCTCCTTCAGCAGATTCCTAGCTCCTGCTGGGACGAGTTAGGAGTCTGAAAACTGAAGGGACAAGCGGATGACTCATCTCTGAGGCTCAGGGGAGGGGATCCTGACCCAGAGCTGAGTCATCACGGCCGCCTCCCTCTGTGCTGACTCGCTCATACCTCCATTTCTTGGCCTCCCCGAGTGCTGGGGTGAGGCCAGGGGCTCAACATAGGCCGGGGCTCCTTTCTCATCTCAGCTCTGCCCTCTTGGCTGGGACGGTCTGACCCAGATGAAACCACAGATGTGGGTCCGAGCCAGCAGTCTCCAGAGAGCCATGCAGATCCGGACACAAGAATCCAAGGCTGTTGCTATGTCTGAAGGAACGCTGGCGGGCTTGAGACCACGAAGAGCCCTCCTATTAGCTTTTCTTCGGTGGATGGCACCAGCAGCAACCCTGTGCATACCTGACTTACTGATTGCATAAATTAAATCTTTTTT